TTCTCAACCTGTGTACCCTCAACCAAGTCGCTTTTGATTAATTTTAATCAAATCACATCGGTCCAAGAAGAGTAACTGTGAATGGAATACCAAGGCATATGGGGCCGATTTTTGATATTTTTGAAAGGTTTTAAAATCCAGATCATGAGAAATGGGGAACGTTATAGAAATGTTTGTACTTACCCCTGTCTCTAATAATGCGAAATACATTTGATCGACTAGACTGAGGTTTTCATTTTTCATTTTCCTTCCAGGGCGAAGGATATCCAAGACCTAAAAATCATCGAAGAGGCAAAACCAGCTGGTTCTCCATTATCCTCTAGCACAGTCCTTGTCAGGAAACCAATGCCTCGTCGTATGCACAAAACTGTCAGTGAAGATTTAGCTACAAGCAAAAACAGTCGGCCTGGTGGATCCAATGAGTCAGATAGTGATTATCAATGTAAGTATCTGTTACGAAAGTGGATGTTTCATTTGGAACTAATATTTATTTATAATAGCATTAAAGTCTCAGGAGATAGAAGGCTAGACAATAACACTTTTTTTAAGTATGAGGCAAACAAATTCCAGGTCTGAACATTTCTTTAAGTCCCATAGCTCATTTAATAGCTCATTCTTAATTGATACAGCAGAGCTAAAAGTTGAGAAGTTTAGATAATTTTTTTCTGAAGAGCTCCTCTCATGAAATTTTGATCATAATCATCAAAATCTAAAGTTTTTTAAAGTATCACTTACGGTAACAGCACCAGTACCCGGAATGGTACCAGTATCCGGAACGTCGCTCAGTTTTTCGTAAAAAATAAGCGGTAGGTTCATCAGTGCAAAAAGGGCATCAGGTTTTCACAAATTACACTCAGAGGGCGCCACACTTGCAATAAGTGTGATGGTCGTGCGCTCCTTTTATTATCTGTACCATGCTTCTATAGTGACGTATTCACAGAACGAACCGCTCTGTGAAAACCTGATGCCCTTATTGCACTGATGTACCTACCGCTTATTTTTTACGAAAAACTGAGCGACGTTCTGGATACTGGTACCATTCCGGGTACTGGTGCTGTTACCTCACTGCCCTCATTGAATAGATGCTTTAGTCGAAAGTTTTGCATGTCCGCTGTGAAATGCAATCTTCTCTTCTGCTTTTAAAAATGAAGGTAACATCAGAACTTTTTTAAAACAATGATCAATTTGATACCTTGAAATAATTCAAATTTGTCAAATTTTGCTATTATTCTAAGTGTCCATAAGCCCTATTAACGTAGCTATACCAAGCAATATTGCCATTATCCAATTATAATTGAATTAGTCTAACTGCATTGCACATTGCTTCATGGTTATTTATGTGAAACATTTTAATGAGGAGTGAAAATTATAAATTTCTCTCTTTTTTTGGTTTTTTTCTTTTTTATCTCTTTGCCACATAGTCATCTCTTTCTTAGAAGTGGCCTCCTAAGTGACAAACGAAAATGCAACTTTTTTATTTTTTGACTAATGTTGGTGTATGTTCACAGTTAGTCCAGGTATGAATAACAACAACAAAAAGGACAAACTCAGACAGAGGTATCCTGCACGAAACTGGGTGGACAGAAACGAAGCAGCTTTTGGGGCACCAATTGACCATCATGCAATGAACAAAGATTTTGACTTTGAAAAAAATTTGGCTCTCTTTAACAAAAAAACCAGTGAACAAGTAAGTACCCAAAGATTGCAATTTGCGGATTGATGGATGTGTCGCAAATGCGGGAAGTGCTTACCTCAATTGCAACATTTAAATTATTCAACTAATGTGGATGGAAATAGAACTTACTAAGCAGTGAACCCATAAACAGTGGGTATACCCAGTTATCAATAACATAAACGCTTAGCTCACTCATTTTCTGTAGAGATGAAAGAACAATTGTTTCAGAGCTGCTAGCTCCATCTTAAGCCTTATCATGACCCTTTAATCCATCATCTATAATCTATCCTTCAATCTCTAAAAAGCGAGTGAGCCTAGATTTTATGTAATTGACGACTGGTTGTACTTACCCTCAGTTCTCTAACCATGGCTGAAAGGACCACCACACAAAGTACGAATTCAAGCATTCTGATTTATTTCTTCCCTTCAAACTTTCACATAAAACACAATATGCCCAATGAAAAAATTGATGCTGACTCCTAGCAAAGATGATGTTTTCATTTCGAATGGTTACGAAAAGTTTGAATTTCCCACTATCAAGAAAAACAAGTCTACTTGAATCAAATTTCATATTACAATGGTTTTGGCAGGCCTCTCAGTCTTGCAGAGTTCCTTCCCCACCGTGTGTTGTTCAAAAAGGGAAAAGTGTGCAGTAGCTGATCCGAAGCGTTGAGATTGAGGTTGTCATAGTTTCATACGACAGAGATTGTCACAGAAACATTGAATGCGCAATTGAATGCAAGTATCTATCGTGGTTCTTTCTGTGAGCGGGAAGTAGAAATTTATGTATTGAATAACGTTAATATGTTTGTCTGGAGTTACCATAGTAAATTTTGTTGTACAAATCGTGTTCTACGCAAAATTTTGATGAGGAAACATAAATCATAATGCTTAAGTATGCACCATGTCAATAGCCTTTTCGGCATCAAAATCAGCCTATGCATGAGGCAAATAACTAGGGCTTGGTTTCACATACATTTTTACCCTCATCTGATACAAGAAATCTTTAATCTTGTCAAAGTAAAGTTATTAATCAGGAAAATTCCTCCATTTTATCATGTATCGAAATTAGCTCAGTGCTTAATTTGATTAGAGTAATCTCTGGTTTTTTATGGTGAGCGGAAAGTGCGAATTAATGTAGATAAGAGCTGTTATCCGTTACCACTTACGAGTGGAAGGTGGAAAGTTTCAATGTCTCCATCGTTTTCTTTTTGAAATTTTGGTAACAAAATTCGTATTTTGGCGTTTAATTCCATAATCTGTCTTTTGGTCCATTGTCTGTCTTCACACTTGTTAAATATGAACCTGATTCTCCTATTTTTCAAGTTTTGTGAGGATCGTTAACATTTTTATTTTATTATTTTCCTGTTTTCTTCTAGGAATTCATGAATAGAAAATTATTAAATGCACAACGTCCAGACCTAGTGAGGCATGCAGAAAGTTCATCTGCAAACTATAGGAATGATGAAAATGTAATCTCCAATTCTGCGCCAACTAAATATCGGCAGATCCTGGTTGAAAATTCCTCCAAAGAATATTCGACAGGTAAATTCATTCAAATTTCTAAGACTCTTTTCTAAGAAGCTCAATTTTTGTAAGTTTCTCAAGCAGGCAAGAAAAATTCAGCGTTTAAATTGAAGGAGAAAAAATGGGATGAAATCAACAATTTCAAGCAAGTCATGCAAAGACCAATGAAAACTTGGATCACAGAATTGTAATTCTAGAAACACTTTAAAACAAATGAACAAAGCATGGTTTACTGAAAAATCAGTGAAAGTAGTGTGCAATAGGTTTAAAACCGATTGCACCCATAATTTTTTTTCCCAACTCACCTAAATATTTTGAAGTCAAATTTTTTTATCGTAAAATGATGGGAATTTCAGAGTACTATTTACTTTGTAATTTCAAATTAGCTGATATTATTTGCTCTAGGTTAGTTGTGTATCTTTCAGTCATTCATTTTGTTCTGCATTGTCAGTAGGTAATGATGAAATAATATTTTTAATAATGATTCAATTATTTCCCAGTGAATTTCAATGTTGTTATTTAATTCAACATTGTTTGGTGATATGTGAAGTACAAACTAAACGTATAATTCATTTGTGATAAAAACACGCGAGAAACGTCACAAGCTGAAATTTTTATCTTTGTTACTGACTTGACTAAGTATGATAATAATGGAGGCGCACTACCTTACATTTTTTTTATGTTATCTATCACCCAACGATTGGGTAGTATCCTGAAATGGCCATTGTCATTCCACAATGTATAATTTTGAATCTCAAATATTCAAGTGAGTTGGCAAGAGGTGTTGCGTGTGCCTCTGTTATTACAATTTCTTGACTAAAGTTACACCACGTGTCGATCAGTGCATAGGTTTTATGTTTTTTAACTCAGAACATTTAGTAAGCCTCGGTCAAATATAAGTGTCTTTTGATGTGTCTATTAAAGTCTTGATGTAACCTTCAACTGATTGCTGAGTTCTATTATTTTTCGATAGATGCTGACTTGATCATCCCCAGCATCACGTATCAACTATGGAAGAAAATCTTTGACTTGGCAGAAGAGATAGGTCTATCGTTAGAGCGTCAAATTGAGATGATGGGGCGTGCTGCATGTGAATTGGCATTGCAAATTTTAGGAGGACCATACAGGTTGGTTTTTTCATTTATCTTCAAATGCATACTGTTCCTCAATGTATTTGTAAATTTGAATCGAAAATTGGAGAATTTTCAATTGCCAAAACCAAGGCAAATCGCATATTTTCCTGAGAGGCAGAAATGCTGGATTGTCAGGAATGATCAGAATTTTTGAACTTTTTGCAATCTTGAAAAAATCCTTGAGTTTAATCAATTTCAAATTTTTAAGTTCTTAAATAATCAAAAAATGAGATTTTTTCCAAAAATATTTGTAGGTTTTCGAAATTGCTAGAACTAAGAACTTCATGTCATTTGATAATTTTGTTGAATCAATTTAACTTCATTGACTCTTGAAATATTACTTTCTATGTTTCTCTTTACCAGATTAAATCCTGCAAATTCTCATCAGTGGCCTCAAGTTGTGATATTATGTGGTGCAAACAGGCCCGGTGCTGTTGGGATCAACTGTGGTAGACATCTAGCATCTCATGGATTGAAAGTGGTTTTATATTTAGTCGAAGCAGCAAAGTATGTCACGTACACAGCACATGAGCTCTCTCTATTTAAATTAACAGATAACGAAGTTATCCATACAGTTAATGGTAAGCTCACAGTTTTCTAGTGAATCAATAGACAGGGTCAGAAATTTAGCATTGCATAATACGTTATTTCATCCAAATCACTTGCACAACTCAATAGGCGCATTGAAAATTTGCAATTTTAGTTTACAAGTGAGAAACTAGCGTTTTTCCATTTGATTTGTTCAAACTTCCTTCTCGCCAAGGAAACGGAAGTCTGCTCAAATCAAGTTGGACACCCAGTATACTTCAGTAAGTTTTCTGATGACATCATGCATGCCAAGTGTAAGATTTTTTTTAAAGTAATTTCTTAAATACGATGTATTGTAGGAAGAGAAAAAAATGCCAGTTTGCCAAATGGTGTTACTCACAAACGATTTCATAAATGAAGAAAAAAAGTTTAGGAGATAAAAATCTAATAATTTGCTAATTGATGAGTCAGTTTTAAGTCCAATTTGACTTTTGTACTGAGTGGGTTTGAAATGTTTAACTTAAAGGGGAACAATAAACGCAAATCTCTTTTGTAGGTGTCAATTGTAGGTATCTTTACTACTTTTAACATTCTCTCCTTGAAATTTTGTTGAAAAAATATGTCCTGTACAGTTTTAATTCTTACTCTATCTAGGGGTCAAATACAATCCGTTTCAAGAATCTGTTAATTTTTTCCCTTTACACCTTGGTTGGTTCTATTTTAGTAGTTCAGTCACAAAATAATGTGTAACTCATCTGAATAGTTAATTGTTCTAATTCTGATTCATTGTTTACAATTTTGTAGAACTCCCAAGGTCGAATGTTGATCTCGTAATTGTTGCACTTGCGGATGAATCAACCACCAGGCTACAAAATGGTATCACATCTTGGGCGAACTACAGTCGAGTACCTTTACTGGCCATTG